CAATGACAGACTGCATATATGATATGATGGTTGCATAAAATGGTATTTTTTTAGTGATATAGCTGTTTTAGGTCTTAGTTCGTGCAACTCTACGATGTTTGCACAGTGATGAAACTGCCTGAGAATGCCTTTCTTAGAAAGTGTTCTCTTTGCTAGGTACCCCATGACCATATTAGAATTTCCTGGAAGTCTCTTGAGACACAAAGTTCAATTTTCCAAGAAAGTTGCATCATCTACTCTAGAGGTTTTCCAAAGCAACTCTCCAAGACAGTACGTGTGTATGAAAGAGACCTTGTGATCTGACCTCTGGTAACCCCTCCCTAGCCAATCGTCCTGAGATGTTTGCCTACACAAGGGTTCTGACTTGAGTTTGTAGGAATTCTGTGAAAGTTCTGTGACCTGCACAGTCTCCATATGGCGAGACTAGAAAAGAGGAAGACCAGGGCCTTCCAGGGAGAAGTTGGTACAAGTGATTACTAGCTAGCGTTAGACTAAGGCACTGTGATAGGCAGAATTCTAAAATGACCCCCAAGATGTGATCACCATGGTGTATAAGCCCTATATAATTCACTCCCCTGGAGCATGGGCAGGATCTGTGCATTTGAGAGGCCAGCATCCTGCATTGCATTGTAAGGCAAAAGTGAATGGATTTCACAGATATAAATAAGGGCCCCAAAGAGTTGTGTGTTAGAGGTAGGCCTCTTAAAAGAGGAACTAAGTACTTCCAAAAAAGATGTACTTTCCCCATTGCCTTGAAGGTGCAATAGCCATGCTGTGAGCTACCCACAAACAGGAGAAGCCTTGGTCCTACAACTATCAGCAGAGGACCCAGCTAAGCCATGCATAGACTCCTGACCCACTGAAGCGCTGAGATCATAAATATACATGGTTTTAAGCTGCAAAGTCTGTGGTAATTTGGTGTAGAGCATTAGAAAAACTAGCACAGGCCTCGTTACAGATATGGCAAAAGAAAAAAAATATGCAGGGGCTATAATAGGTAAAATACAACACAGCACAGAGTAGGGGAATAAGTTGGCAAGCAAAAGTCTATCCTTGAATAGAGAACCTCTGTAAACAAATAGGTCAAAAACAAAAAAAAACAAAAAACAAACAAACAAAAAAAAAACACTAGTCATTCAATTGTTCACAGGTTCTCGAGGGTTCGTGTTTCCCAAACCAAGCTCTGTGGGAACTCTGCCCTCAGTATTTCTTCTAGAAAAAATTCCTATGGCTTTCTATGTGGGAGGCCCTGACCTAGACTCTGTGAATACAGAAAAGATGATGTCAATTCCTCATGGATGAGGAGTCCAATACACACAGGTATGTGTGGTTGAGTACATTAAGTGCCCATTCAGATACATATGAACATATTAAAATTGCAGCTGCGTGGAAGTAAGTTGGGAGAGCAGAAACTGGAGCTTAGCTCAAGCCACCTTGTGAATGGCCTTCCCTATGTAAGAGGCAAGGAAATTTACATGGATTTTTGTTACTGATAATTGGTAGTGAACAAAAACAAAATCATTCTACATGGAGGAGTAATAGGATCCATGTTGTGTTGTGGGAAGGTCTCCATGACAGCAGACAGATTCCAGGAGTCCAAAGCAGCAGTAAGAAAGTGACTGCAGGATCCAGGCATGTCTTACTGACCCCCCTGTCTCCACTGTGCAGCGCAGGGCCATCTAGGGAGGGTCTGCTGAGTCATAAGCTGACAAATGATCAGGCAGCAGCTGCAGAGGCAGCAGGCACGAAGGCAGCAAGCTCGGAGAGGTTGAGAGAGGTTTTCCTGTACCAGGGAGCTGGGGTGGGGAGGGAATAGTGTAGGCCTCTAGGGTCTGAGGGATGTGAAAGAGGATGGCAGCTCCAATCTCAGAGCCTCTGCTGAACCCTGGAGTGGAAAGGGGTAACCTCATGGCTGGAGAGCCTGAGAGTGTCCCAGGACCAGGAGCAATTCAGGGACCCAATCTAGTACTGCTCATCAAGACTGAGGTCCTTTGTACCCCTTTGCATAAAAGGACAGGTGCATTCTAGATCAGGCCCCATTAACACCCAGTCCTCCCCACTGGCTTTGTGGGCAGCCCTTGTTCGTCCTCTGCTCACCCATTCTTGCTCTTTCCCCCTTCTTTTCTTCATCTCACGCTAACTTCCAGTTCCTGCCTATTAGGGGGTTCATCTCTGTGATGTTAGAGCTGTTAGAGTGACAAAAGATCATCCACTTGACCAATGGCTTCATATTATACATGAGACACCCTCCTTTCTCTCTTCTGACCCAGGAGGAAGATCCTCTCTTTTTCACCACATTCTAACCAGCCCTTCTGCCTGTGCCAACAATCCTTCCATCTATTTATTTATTTTTCACTGAAGATTATTTACTGAAAACAGACCCTATTCTAGGCACTGGAATCACAGCATTGAACATGAAATGGAGGATCCAAGCTTGCACAGAGCTGACATTATAGATGAGGAGGTAGAATATAAGCAGGGAACAAATAAATGAAATAGAGGGGCTGGAGCTGTGGTGTAGTGGGTAAAGCTACTGCCTGCAGTTCGAGAGTTCGAGCAGCAGAAGATGGCCCAAGTCCTTGGGCCCCTGCACTCATGTGGGAGACCCCGAGGAAACTCCTGGCTCTTGGCTTTGGATCGGCACAGCTCTGGCCATTGTGACCATCTGGGGAATGAACCAGCAGATGGAAGATCTCTCTCTCCCTCTCTCTCTCTCTGCCTCTGCCTCTCTGTAACTCTACCTTTCAAATAAATAAATAAATAAATCTTTAAAGAAAATTATAAAGTAAATTAAATAGGATATTTCAGCTATAAGCTGTTATGGTTTGAATGTGTTCCCCAAAATCTCATGTGCTGGAAACTAAGTCCCCAAATTCCTATGTCAATGGTCGATGGAGGTAGGGCCTTTGGGAGGGAATCAGGATTAGATGAAGTCATGAGGGTGGAGCTTCATTAGCTGCTTTACAGGAAGAGAGACCTGATCTAGTGCACTTGCTCTGTCTCATAGTGTGATAAGCCTCTACCATGTTATGAAGCGGCAAGACGACCTGTCAAACAGATGCCAATGCTATGCTCTTGGACATCACAATCCCCAGAACTGTGAGCTAAGTAAACCTCTATTCTTGATAAATTATCCAGTGCTTGGTATTCAGTTATAGTAACAGAAAACAGATTAACACATATGTGCTGCTCTGAAAAAAATAAGAGTAGTATGTATTCTCCAACTCCTCTTGGGTTTCTGTCTCAATGTATTTCCTACCAATCATTCAACAACCGTTCAGTGACCTAACTCCAAAACCCAGGAAGTATCCTGGACCCATCTTTCGCTTTTAATTATCCATAACATGTGGATTCCAACTCTCAGTAGCTCTCTCTGTCTTCCATGACTCTTGATATCGACACTGTCACCTGTTGCCCAAATTATTGCAGGATGTCCTCAACTAGTTTCCTCCCTCTAGTCTTGTCCTCTTCTTTCATATCATGCCCCTGCCTAAGCAAATCACCATGGTTCTTAATAGTTTCTCCAGTTAAGTTAAACTCCCATAGTTTAGCATGTAAGACCTTTCATTATGTGGGGTCTTCTGAACACTTCTATCTTTTCCCTACACTGATCTGCCCTATATAGCATTCACTCAGCCATATTTACAAATCTCATGTCAAGGTGTATGGCCTTGATACACTGTGCCTTTGATAGCATGCCCCTATACATTGTGCCCTCACTTGAAATACCCTCTGCCTTTCTTCTCTGACTTCATTGTTCACATCCCCCATCAAGTGTCATCTTATTTAGGAAGAGCCTTCTAGTAAAGGCCCATGGAGTTTTTTTTTTTTTTTTGACAGGCAGAGTGGACAGTGAGAGAGAGAGACAGAGAGAAAGGTCTTCCTTTTCCATTGGTTCACCCTCCAATGGCCGCCACGGCTGGCGCTCTGCGGCCGGCGCACCGCGCTGATCCGATGGCAGGAGCCAGGTGGTTTTCCTGGTCTCCCATGGGGTGCAGGGCCCAAGCACCTGGGCCATCCTCCACTGCACTCCCGGGCCACAGCAGAGAGCTGGCCTGGAAGAGGGGCAACCAGGAAAGAATCCGGCGCCCCGACCGGGACTAGAACCCAGTGTGCCGGCGCCGCTAGGTGGAGGATTAGCCTGTTGAGGCGCGGCGCCGGCCATCTTTGAAGTTCTTATAAGGATTACATTGAGAAGATGTATGAAGCCCTTGGCACAATGATGACACTCAGCTTATGTCTTGCTTCCCTGATGGAGTTTCTCAAATTTGGGGCAGACATAATTAGCATATGAATAGAGTTTTCCTATTTGCAATGAAACTGTCTCAGAACACAGACTCCAAGGAGGTGGAAGATTTGTCTCTCTTACTGTCTTAATAAAATGGACTCATGAACAGGAAAATTTTCTTCTCATTGATGTGTCTGTTGCTTGATGCTTTTTATTATAATTTGAACTTCTTAACATTGTTTGTAATGGCCTAGAAGTGATTCTGATGGATTACAAGATTGGAGACAAATCCTCTGGATACCACCATCACAGACAGCACACATGGTAATAACTCATTGCAGTCCCCAGCCATGAAGGTTAGACAATTTTCAATTCCCATTTCCAATTTCAGACTGTTAGTTGGCAAACTTGCAGCTGTTTCCTACTCCTAGAGCACAGGGTATAGAATCTGCCAACCTGCCACACTCTGGAAGGATGTAGGACCACATGCTTCCACAAAACCAGAGCCTATGAGAAGGTGACCTCTACAGGCTGATCTCTGACATTGTAGCTCTGACCTTCTACCAGGTCTTTAGAAACCTCCCAGAAAAGGAAAAGCTGCCTTCGGAGTCACCTGTTCCCTGCACAAATTTCTCTCGCAGCACATGCACCAAAGGCACATAGGCACACCTGCTCTTCCCTCACTCCATCAGACTCCTTCACTGCACTAAGTCCATGTCTTACTGAGAGAGATGGTCCCTAGGAGGGGTAATAAAAGATGCGGTTCTCTTACTTGCATTCAACAGAGTCCGGATCTTCTTCTCTTCTTCCGCTTCTTGAAGTATCTTTTCTGCCAGTGTCTTGTCCTCTGATTCCACGCACACGTCAGCTTCTCGGAGGTATTCTAGGTAGTCGATCTCCCGTTGGGCACGTTCAACCCTTAGTGCCAGGTTATTTACTGCACTCTTATACTCACTTGTGCGGGTCTGACATCTGCCCAGCATAACGGTCATGTTCTTTGAGAATTCTCGGAAGTCTTGAATATATGCCCTTGTAGCTTGTGTGCATTTTTCCAGCCCTTGCTTCAGTCAAAAAATACATTTCCCAGTTACTGTTGGTTATTTAAATTACTCAAGTAATAAAAATAGCTATCAGCCATAGAAAGTATTTTATGAATAATTAAAATAGCTATCAGTCATAGAAAAGTATTTTATGAATAATTATAAAAAGTATTTTATAATAATTAAAAGGGGAAAAGTAAAAACTCAAAATTCTAAATTCAAAGGTACTATTGATAATTTATCAATTTTTAAAAGTTTTTTCTATATAGTAAGTGATACATATTTTTCAAGTATTATTTTACTGTTTTATAACATATTTTAACTTGCTGATTTATTGTGACTATATTACCAATTAATAGATATGTAAGCCACTTTTTTCTTGTGATGATAGTGTCTTTTTTAATTGATGGATAACAATTTTATCTACTTAGTTTATACAAAATGATATATATGTAGACTGCAGAATGATTAAATCAAGCTAATTAACATATGCATTATTCCACATACTTATTATGGTGAGAACATTTAAAACCTCTTAATTTTCAGGTATACAATACATTGTAATGAACTCTAGTCACCATGATGTACAACCGATCTCTTGAACTTATTCATTCTAAGTGAAATGTTGTATCCTTAGGCCAATCTCACTGACGTCCTCACTTCTTAGCACCTCTTCCATGACCACCATTGTATTCTGTTTCTATAAGTTTAATTTGTTAGATTCCTCATATAACTGAGATTATGCAGTATTTATATTTCTTGCCTGGCTTATCTCAATTAGCATAATGTCTTTCAGATTCATCTATGGTATTACAAATGACACAATGTTTTCTTTTATAAGGCCAACAGTATTCTGTTCATATGTGTGTGTGTATATATATATACACTACATTTTCATTATCTGCTTATAACTTTTTTTTTTTTTTACAGGCAAAGTGAACAGTGAGAGAGAGACAGAGAAAGGTCTTCCTTTTCTGTTGGTTCACCCTCCAATGGCTGCTGCAGCCGGCACACCGCGCTGATCCGAAGCCAGGAGCCAGGTGCTTCCTCCTGGTCTCCCATGCGGTTGCAGGGCCCAAGGATTTGAGCCATCCTCCACTGCACTCCCGGGCCACCGCAGAGAGCTGTGGAAGAGGGGCAACCGGGACAGAATCCGGTGCCCCGACCGGGACTAGAACCCGGTGTGCCAGGGCCGCAAGGCGGAGGATTAGCCTATTGAGCCATGGCGCCAGCCCTGCTTATAACTTTAATGAGATGTAGCATTTTATTGAACCGATATCCCATTATTTATTCTGTTTCTTTATGTGTATTTATTTGAAATGCAGAGTAACAGAGTCAAAGCTATTTCAAAAGGAGAGAGAGAGAGAGAGAGAGAGAGAGAGATTTTCCATTTGCTGATTCACTCCCTAAACGCCTGCCACAATCAGGCAATCAGGGCTGGGCCAGGCCAAAGCCAAGAGCCCCAAACTCAACCTGAGTCTCCCAGTGGATTGCAGGGATGCAAGTACTTGAGCCATCATGTGCTGCCTCCCAGAGTGCACATGAGCAAGAAGTTATAACCAGGAAGGGTTGGGTTTTGATCCTAGGCACTCCAATATGGGATGTGGGCATCCCAGACTGTGGCTTAACTGCTGTGACACAGTGCCTGCCCCTAGTCTGTACCTTACACCCTGTTCTGCAGACTAGCATTGAAGGACAATTGTTAGGGATTTGGCTGGCTGTATTCAGGGCAAGTCAGTGCTAAGTGTTGTATGTAATTCTGGCAGGTTTAAGCAGGTGAGACTGGGGAGGAGGTATCTGAGAGTAAGCAAGGGAAGACGCTGTGTAGCAGATAAAGTGCCACCTGTGATGCCAGTATCCCATATGGATGCCAGTTTGAGTCCCAGCTGCTCTACTTCCTATCCAGCTCCCTGCTAATATGCCTGGGAAAGCAGCAGCAGATGGCCCAAGTGCCTGTGTCCCTGCACCATGTGGGAGACCCAGAAGAAGCTTCAGGTTCCTGGCTGTGGCCTGGCACAGATCTCTCCCTCTCTCTGTCTCTGTCTCTCTCTCTCTCTGTAACTCTGCCTTTCAAATAAATAAAAAAATAAATCTTAAAAAAAGGAAAGCATCAGCAAGAGGCCACTGGCCTGGGAACATATATCTCATCCTCAGTATGTATGGCTGGAGAATGGTGGGAAATGTTTTCAGCCTATTTTATGGAATTATTTTACCCTGGCTCTAAAACTAGATAACCAGATAATTTGGACTTAAAGATTTTTTAAAAAAATATAGAAAATAAGTATTGGAGATAAGAATTTCTTTAAAAGAAGATACATAATTTATCAGTTAACTTGTACAAAAGCAAGGCATTAAGTATGAAATAGTTAATGCCAGTGCTGGGGTGTGGCAAAGTCTAGCATGGAGCATGACATTTTTCCTTGGGAGCCTGTCCACGCTGCAATCTTAGAATTTGCACGTTTTAATGAGGTGGCAGCCCACATGCTTTCTCTCTATTAGCATTGCTGGAATCTGCTTATTTCTAAGTCCAACTCCAGATTGGCAAGAGCAGCAAAGACTTTGCTTCCTGTTACATGGATATTGGGACTGTTTACAGTGACCTTATGATTTTTCATAAACAGATAACGATAAAATTCATTCTTATCTTGATACAGTAAACATGAAGAAAAAATGACCCAAATTTTTAGTTTTTACATTTAACTCAACAAACTATTGAATTTCGGATGTCCAACATTTTGGATATTTACCGCCATCCCAAAAATTCTAAGTATGCATTAATTTATTAAATCTTCAGGATAGCCTTAGAAGGCAAATTCCATTTTTATCCTTATTTTACAGATGAAGAAAACTGCCAGATGAGAGTCTAGAGTGAAGCTAAGCTCAAGGTCTGGGAGTGGAAGAGGCAGGACTGTGGAGCCGGTGCCTTCAACTGCTCGACCAGGAACATTTGTAAGCCGTAATCTTAGCAACGTGGTTGTCATTTCCTATCCGGGAAACATGCATCCCAGTAGCTAGGGAAGTGTGGGTAAAACAAAGTGGCTTCTGGGAGGCGTGCACAGATGCCACCTACCTCCAAGACTCGAAAGCGCTGGTAGATGTAATGTACCATGGCAGGGTCCTGCGCACACTGTGGTGGAGGCAGAAATGCTGCAAGGAACAGAAGCAGAAGGGCAGAAACTCGCTGAAGGACCATCATCCTACAGACTTCCGGGCGTGAAACCCCTTACGTTGTGGTTCTAGAAGACGACTCGGGGTCCAGGTGGTGGTTCCAGCTTTGTAGCCGCTGCTGTGGCAAATCCTCAGAAAACAACTTCTTGCACAGCCGCAGAGCAACGGTCACTTGTTGTTCCACCCCATGCATGATCTCAGTTTGCAAGCTGGTGATCAAGTCCAGCTGTTGGTAAATTGGTCCCTGGAGGCCTTGCAGGCCAACTTGGTGCAGAGAGCTCCCTGGGTCCAGTATCTATTTCCCTCACCCTTGACACACGCAGGGACCCTCCCCAGGCTAGTGACTGTGGGCTGCTTTCAGCCCTGAGGCTGTGGATGTGTACATTGGGGTGGAGGTGGGGAGGTCGTCCAGCCCCTATTCCCCTCCCCCAGCTACTGCCTTTTTACTTCTGCTTCCAGCCTCCCTAGTAGATTCTGCAGTCCAATCACAGGCCTGATCCAAGACAAACCACCCCCTCCTTCTTGGAGTTGGAATCTCTTGTAACTTTTGGCAAAAATTCCCAGGATACTTTTCCCAGAAGTTCCACTGGGAGGGAGACCCCACCTCTCTTCCTGATTTCCTTTGCATTCCTGCAGCTCTTAAAGGCACAGCAAAGAATTGAATACCGATCTTTCCCTATCTCTGAAAAGCTATTGCATGGGGCAGCATGGCTCCTTGGGCAGAAAGGTACAATGGGCTACAAGCCTGACTGTCCAGGTGGACAGCTGAAAATCTCAGGGTTGAGCTCAGAATTTTCTTAAAAGAAATAACAACAATTATTCAGACAGTAATGCTTCCAGAGCAAAGCTATCAGGAAATGAAAGTCCTTTGTAAGGAAGTGCTAGAGTTTTCTCAATCACTAAGGTCAGAATTCCTTTCTTAGAATTGCAGGCCAGAAATGTGTCCAACCCCTACGGAAGGCCCTAAGCCAATTGAGATAAATCATATCTCTAGGACAAAGAGGTAGAATCTTCCATTTTTGCCTTTGCTGTCCAGTTCTCTGCTTCTCCGGACCTCTCCCTTCCTGAGTGTTCCCAGCTCTTAAAGGCACAGCAGAGAAATGGTTTCCCCATGGTTCTTTCTCAATTACCTACCAAAATGGGGAACTGTGGGACATCTATGGACTATGGAGAAGGCTCTGACCAGAACTCAGAAGAGCCAGGTTTGCATTCAGTCTCTGAAAGAGGTGCTAAAGACTGAGAATTTCCCACTTGTCCCCTCTGAATGTGGATGTTTCTCTCCACCTCTCTTTCATATGGTCTAAGCATTTGGGGGCTGGCGCTGTGGCACAGCAGGTAAACCTGCCTCCTGCAGTGCCAGCATCCCATATGGGTGCAGGTTCCAGTCTTGCCTGTTCTACTTCCAATCTGGCTCTTTGCTGTGGCCTGGGAAAGCAGCGGAAGATGGCCCAAGTGTTTGGGCCCCTGTACCCCTGTGAGAGACTCAGAAGAAGCTCCAGGCTCCTGGCTCAAATTGGCCCAGATCTGGCCATTGCAGCCATTTGGGGAGTGAACCAGTGGATGGAAGACCTCTCTTTCTCCCCCCACCTCCCACAACTCTGGCTTTTAAATAACACATGCATTCTACATTAATGAAGTTAAAGAATTACCTGTGTGTGGGTGGGGAGGGAAAGAACACAGCGAGAAGCTTCAGTCACAGTGCAGGGCTGCTTCCGGGACAACGGCTGCATCTGTGGGATGGGCTTGGAAGTTTCTCCAGCCCTGACAGGTACCTTGTCTCTGGTCACCAGTGATCGCCAACCCCCACAGCACCTGCTCTGCATTCATCAGGTTTATAGGTAAAGTCTGGCAGGTTTTCTTTGATTGACCACACCTGGTCTTCGTTGGTGAGTTTTATTCTTTGCCATCCCAAGTAAAGGCGGCAAATCCCACAGCTGATACTCCTAACCCATTAGAATCAATGAGCTATGGGGTAGAGCCAGAGTGGAAATCCTCATGTTCTTATAACCAGTTTTCAAAAATACAAAAACCAGGGGCTGGCGCTGTGTTGTAGTGGGTAAAGCCGCCGCCTGCAGTGCCAACATTCCATATGGGCGCCAGTTCAAGTCCTGGCTGCTCCATTTCCGATCCAGCTCTCTGCTATGGCCTGGGAAAGCAGTAGAAGACGGCCCAAGTCTTTGGGCCCCTGAACCCACATGGGAGACTTGGAAGAAGTTCCTGGCTCCTGGCTTCAGATCTGCACAGGTCTGGCTGTTGCGGCCATCTGGGGAGTGAACCAGCGGATGGAAGACCTCTCTCTCTCTCTCTGCCTCTCCTCCCTCTCTGTGTAACTCTGATTTTCAAGTAAATAAATAAATCTTAAAAAAAAAGACAAAAACCAGACTCATTTTGGAGATAGTCACAGCTTCCACGGATGCACAGCCGCCATGAGTTATGGTCTTTATCTACTGGGAGGGCGCTGTGCTGGTAAGGATGAAAGAGATGGCTTGGTGCACAGTAGGCTGCAGTTGGGATGAAGTCATTTACTTTGCTCTGATGTCTGGCCTTTAACCTCTGGCCTTCACCACTGTGACATTCGCATCAGTGGGGACAGTGATTAAGCACAGAGATCCCTCTTTTCTCCTCTGCAAGTGTCTGATCCTTCTGCTTGGCTGCCTCAATATCCCCAGAGGGGAAACGTAAGCCCTTTGATATTCACTGTTTCTTCTTTGCTGTGGATAGATTCAGGTCACCAGCTCTGGTTCTGTAAGCCCAGTCCTGAGCTGAACGATTTCCCCAAATGGCCAGCCTGGTTAGCCTACAGAGGCAGACCTAACCAGATCTCCCACTCCTCCTGGAGTTCTTGGTCACTTCCACCACTGCTGGCTCTCTTTGCTAATGTGTCTCCGTAGTAAATGACCCTTGGATTTTCTAGAGCCTTCTGGACTCCCGGGGGTGGGGGCTCCCCTTTACTGAGCGGTGCTAACAGCTCTGGGATTCTGTGAGAGGGCAGAGCCCAACTCAAGAGCAACCCATCTGGATACCAGAATTCGTTTAGAAATGAACAGGGCACCTCTTTTCTCTTCAGCTCTCTTTCCTCCTTTATCTTTTATTAGCCAAGCCTGCCTCCCCCCTCACCTAATAGCTGTTTGTCTTAATGTCATTCTCACATCTGGCAGTCTTGTGTATCTCCAGTAATTGCCTTGTTTCCTGCATGAGTGACTGTAGCAGCCTTTTATTCCCCATCTTCATCTCTTTAGATAAAGCATCGGCTGATCTTTTGCCAAAATGAAAGCTTTTACAACGTGACCTCAGCCAGCCTTTCTTGCTCAGCTTTACCATTGCCACCTTCATTCTCCACAAGAGCCCCCAGCTCCCCATTCAATTTGCTATCTTTCTTTGAGGGGGCCTGGTAGCCTAGACTGTTTCTCCCTTTGGTGACTAACGAACTCTTACCCAAGCTTCAAGCCTTCCTACCACCTCCTCACCTTCATCCCAGGCAGAATAACCTCTTCTCGCATCTGTTTTGGTAACATGTGGAAGTCTCAATCTTGGAAGTTGAGGGGAGGGCTAATCTGCACACTGAAGCTCTGCTACAGAGATGTGGGCTGGCAGCCTCTGAGAACACCTTCAGAAATAAGTTTCCAGAAAACATAGTTTTGTTGTCCCCTGGAAAATGCCCAAAACATTTTTTTTGACAGGCAGAGTGGACAGTGAGAGAGAGAGACAGAGAGAAAGGTCTTCCTTTTGCCATTGGTTCACCCTCCAATGGCCGCCACGGCCGGCGCGCTGCGGCTGGTGCACCACGCTGATCCGATGGCAGGAGCCAGGTACTTCTCCTGGTCTCCCATGGGGTGCAAGGACTTGGGCCATCCTCCACTGCACTCCCTGGCCACAGCAGAGGGCTGGCCTGGAAGAGGGGCAACCGGGACAGAATCTTGTGCCCCGACCGGGACTAGAACCCGGTGTGCCGGCGCCGCAAGGCGGAGGATTAGCCTAGTGAGCTGCGGTGCCGGCCTAGTAAGGATGGTTTTTAAGTGTGCCAGGTTAGGGCTATGTTTCTTCACTGACACCTTAAGGCAATGTGCTATGAAAATAGGACATATCTCTGACCACAGGAGCTTGCAATTTGCTAGAACAAACATATCTACAAGCAGAGGCAATGGTAGGAGAGCATCCCATTGTGAGGGTTGGGGTTGTTTGCACAGGGGTGAGAGGGGGTCAGGGGCTTGAAACAGATGCCTTTCTTAAGTACTGTGATGTTGCCCTAGATGTATTGACTATTTACTCATCTGTTACTCTTGTCTTTTCCTATGTTAGGATGAGATGGAGATAGGAGCTAAGGAAGAGGGAGTGGCCTGTGGAATTTCCTATGAACTAAAGGTTGTTTCAGGATGGAATAAAAAAATTGACAGGTTGTGTAAGGATTTAAGTTAGATATTAAGAATTTTCTGATTGATATTTTGAAGATAAGAGTTTGTTGAGATAGTTGATATTTTTCTACTGGATAATGAAATATTTGGGAAACCATTTAAAAATCTTTACATATTTGTGTGAGAGCATAGGAAGTCAGAAAAGAACCCCCTAGAAGGTGCTATACAACTGATAAATAGACAGTCATTAGTCAATACTTGTGATATCTCCAATTATTGCCAGATACACCTTTAGTTACCTACTTTACAACCTCACATAACCTTTGCTGTGGATCACCAATTCTCTGCATCTGTTTGGCCTACTGTAACAAAATACCATGGACTGGGTGACCTAAAGCACAAATAGTATTTCTCCTAGTTCTGAAGGCAGAGAAGTCCAAGATCAAGGTGCCAGCAGATGAGGTGTCTTCCAAAGACCCTTGCTCCACTTTGCAGATGGTTGTCTTCTTACTGTGTTTTCATATGGTGGAGAGAGAGGGTTCTGGTCTCCTTCTTATAAGAACATTGATCCCATCTGGGGCTCCATCCTCACGACATCTTCTAAACTTAATTAGCTCCCCAAGGTCTCATCTCCAAATACCATCACAGCAGAGGTTAGGGCTTCAACATATGCATATGGGGGGGACACATAGAGCTTCAGTCAGTATCACCAGCCTTCTCATTTTTCAGTACTGTCATGATTTGACAGGAGAATTTCCTAAGATGCTACCTGCATCCCCTTTGCCTCTTCTTACCCTCTCCCATCCCTTGGCCTGAACCTACCCAGAGTACAGTATTCTCAGTTCTTACCGGGAAGTCCTGTCGGGCCAGCATCTGCTCAAGTGGTTGGCAGTGCTGTTGTTCTCTGCCGACTTGGAGAGCCTGGCCCTGCCTTCTCACAGTCCCAGGATGGAACCTCTGCCTGCCCAGCGTTTGGTAGAAAATCCTTGTTCTGCTCTTTGAAATAAAAACTGTGTACACCAGAGTCCCTAGAACTTGCAAATCTCTCATTGTGATCCTCCTGGTTCAACTTCGGAAATCCTCCTTGGAAGTTTCCC